CTGATTTCTGTCAGAAGTCAAAAATAACAGTTATCGCAAAAATTCTTATAAAAGACTATATTTATCGAAAAATTCTTATAAAAGAATATATTTGTCGAAAAAATGATTGTTATCTATCCTACACGACTTCTCTCGTTGTGATTGTAACAGTAAGTTAAACGCCTCAGACGAATTCTGTCGACTAATTATTTTATGTAAAACCGCAATCTGTGTCGCACGTCTCTTACATCGCTTTCGAAACGACGAATTTCGATAGTCTTCATCTATCACTACGGTCTGCTCAACGGTCCCCAAATATTCTTCTTGCGCATAATAGACTTGGGTCGAGTTCTTTTGCCCGCGACGGGGGCAAACGATGCTCGAAAAGCGTGATGAAAAGCGTGATGAAAAGCGTGAAAGGCTGGACACAGCTTTAAAATTCAACCGACTTAAGCACTAAGCGAGACGGTATTTATTTATAATTGACCCTCTGCCGAACTTTCAAAAGCTTGAAAAATTAGGTCGAGCAAAATTTTTCTCTTCTTCCGCGCGTTCGAAAGAAAGGACACGATCGCGCGCGCGTGCAACGATCTATCGTTTAATATCGAATCTCGTCGAAGCACGATTCACAGTCCTACGCAGGATCATCGACGAATCCGGTTAATTTCTTTATGAAAATGAAACTCTATTCAGATATTCTTACCCTAAAGTAGGGTAAGTTAAAACCTATAGAATAAAATCGGACATTTGCGAGCCAAACAGGTTTTTTCCATTCTTCTGATTCAATTAATTATTTCCAGGTGTTCAAAGTCCCTCTGTCATCTACTAGCGAGTGGAAAAGTGAAGATACTTTTCTCTCGGAAACTATCTACGATCGTTATCTGGTGTGTGAAGATATTGAAAAATTTTTTCATGACAGAATCCGCTATGGCCATCTTTCCTTTACAACGACCCTCTAGAATTCAATGCGCGATGCTTTTGCTTTCGTCAAACACAAATGATATACAAGTACCGTACGTGTAATTTGATAATATATTTAATAATATTACGCGTCAGAGCTTGCCATTACAGTTTTCTTTGTTATCACTGTACTTTATCCGACAGTAAATTTGCTCGATTTAACCCCTTCTAAGTGATTACGTCGGGGTGCAAATGTCTTAATTGCAGAATTATTACGATATGCTTTCATCTGGAAAGACTAACGCGCATTAGAAATCCGATCGTTGCTTGTTATATCTGCGACATCGTTCTGTCTGTCTCTCATGTCATCAGAGATTATTTGAATAAAATATTTGAAAAATGATTGTTTATTTGACTCGATGTTACGTGGAAGTAACATCTTCTTGTGATAACAAATAATTTCTCAAATAACATTTAACTTTACTGTACAAACATTATCAACTGTGTTCAGAGATTTTCTATATCTAAGCCACATCACTTCAGACATATATATCTAAAAAAATATGTCATAGGATTTGTCATTGAAATACTAACAAGTAGTTTATCGTTTACTTTATTTAATATTACGTATAAAAATTCCCAGATAAAGCATCACCTTGTACTGAGATTATATGTTATTTTATTTTATTATTTTTCAATGATTTTGAGCGTAGATAAAGTCACTCTTCTTACGTTATTTTCGAAATATTTATATTTAATAATTACTTTTATAAATTATTTTTTATTTTTATTTTGAAACAAAGTTTGCCCAACCTCGATCTTTGAACGTGTTGTTGCACTTTAATCCTCAAGTGGTATTGTGGGGAGGGGGGGGGGGTGACAAACGAATATAATAATTTGTATCATATTACAAAAATTTAAGTAAATTTAACTTCATTTTATGCTTCATACTTTCCCCGATAGATTACCAATAAAATTAAATTAAATGAGAAATTTCAAAGCTAGTGAAACGTAGATTTTGACGATGACCTAGATGACTCTCGATGACTGCTCGATTCTCGAATCGTGTCGAATAACTTGCGAAAATAATGATGTCCGTGAAAGTTCAGTTAGAGATAAACGGTAAAGAAAGACAAATTGGTAAAGAAAGGAACGTTATTCATAGAGATGACCTGGGAGAGCCGGTTTCTACCCCGTTGCCAATGCCGTGCCGCGACTCGACGCAACGCGATGCGACGAGGGGGGTGAATATGTAGTAACCTTGACCGATGCTAGATATAAGTAAGACGTTGCTGCTCGATAGATACTGCTCGAAATTATCGCCCTATAGATTTCGCCAATTTTCGTCAATTCTTTCCTCTTGCTACTTCTGCGCGATATCACGTTCCCTGATTACACACACGAAAGCACGTTCAACTATCTGATGAACTTCACTCCTAAGTAGACCTTCAATTAATTGGAGTTTTCTGTTTCTGTTTCATTTCTATTGGATTGATAAGTGGAAATAAATACATTCCTACACGATAATAAGGGATCTTCGTTGAAAATGAAATTCGTTAAAAACTGCATCAATGAATGATGATAATTGTTACTTTCAATTCCCTGTTAGAACAGTATTCGAAAATAAAACCAACGAATAAATGGCAAGTTTATCTAGGAAGATGTCAAATTAATTTACTAGATATGCGGTTCAAAAGCCAATCGGTGTAAGTTAAAGTTGATGGAAGAACTAAATTATTCTATTGGCCGAAAGTTCTGACAACAAAAAATATTCATACGATACAATTTCTCATTTTTAATTGAAAATAATTTTATCAATTAGTTCTAAAAGTTCTAAACCCTTCAAATACAAAATTAAACTCGATAGTTGTTTTGTATAACTAATCTGGCATAACGTAGGAACGTAATAAGCACACAAGACTATGAATTTTTTTCATGTTTGTTAATACGTGATGACTGTTCGATGTTAAAATAACTTTCAATTAAAGCTGTAATCAACGATTGACTAACCTGAATGAATTTGACCTACAATTAGACGTCTGTGATTTTGTTTGCCTTACAAAACTCTCGAGCATTTGAATTAAAGATTTTATTTTGCCTCACTGCCATTAAAAAGTAACCCATCGTAGCATGTAGCATCGACATATATCAGTGGTTTGTGCATCTTTGACATAGATAATGAGCGTCGATTTTTTATTAAAACGCTTTTTTATTACAAGATCCAAGCATATTGGCCGGATATTGATAGGAGCCTTCCGATATATTAATAGTCCTGCACGATGTGAATCTTCCGCTTCCGCTTCCCTTTCATTGCCTTTCACGATCTAGACACGATCTGGTAAATAATCGTTTATTTTTCACGTGCGTTTAAGCGAAACGCGTATTTAAAGTATGAACACGTACGTTCTAAAACGTAGGCATGATCGCGAACAGCATGAACATTGAACATTTGAAGTCGTAGGTCGTTGCGAATGTATATATAAAGTACAAATCAAATGGATCTTTTTAATTCAATTGCGCATATACAACTGACGGATTAGCCAACGTCAATTGATCGTATAGATAAAAAAGCGATTAAAGATTTATTTTGCAGAAACATCTTACGATTAGTTAACTGACTTTATGTACAGTGTGTT